TCCTTCCCGGATGAAAATTGTTTTCTTCCTACGAGCCTCAGCTTGATTTTCATTGCAAGACTCAACAATCTGGAATCTCTATCCCCAGCCCTGCAAAACTTGACCTCACTAGAAGAACTAGAAGTTGTTGACTGTCCAAAGCTGAGACACTTGCCAAGGGAAGGCCTGCCTGCAACACTTGGAAGACTTTGTATCAGAAACTGTGAACATTTAAAACGAAAATGCTTGAAGAAGAAAGGAGCTTACTCAACGAGGATAGCCCACATCCCCAATGTGGAGATAGAATGGTAATCTCCCCATGTTCTCAGTTTTGTTTAGATCAACTTTTGTGACACTACTTTCTTCGGAAAACTTTTGCCATACAGCTGCATGATTCTTCTCGTAATGACCTTTTCACTGCAATTGCAGATTAAATTCAAAAAGGGACAGCAGATGTTCAATAAACTCTTGCAAGATGTTTTTGGGGTAATATATCATGATTGTTTTTTTCCATTTGTTATGAATCTTATCCATAGGTTAGGTTGCTGCCAAAGATTTCTTATATTTTCAACTTGTGCAGATTTCTCATTTTCTACATACGGATGGAGGGAATATCAGTGATGCCCAAATACATTTGTTCAAGATAGAGCTACAGCCTACAAGATTGGAAGCATATATACAGAGAATGATAATCCATAATCATTACCTCTAATGGTCATGTCATGGGGACCTTCTTTCTCATAACTCTATGCTCACATTAATCAAAGTCAATCTCAAAAATATTTGAAATAAAGAAGTCTGCAGTTTGATACATCCTGAATTGTGTTTTTGATTATGAGCCCTGTAAACTCTGTTTGTTTCATTTCCAGGCAAATAGTTTTGAATATCTTGTTGCTTTCTTTACAGATTTTGAGATCAATCATGGACTATGTATTGTTTCTTCCTGCCAATCAACTAGTCAATTACACTTACATCATTTTATCTTCTATTACTGAAGTAACCAAAACCAATAATTGTAAAATTGAAGCAGTTAGAGTGTTTAAAGTACCAGGATTTGCAGACGAGGGTGCAGCGAACGATGTCGAACATATTCAGGAAGGAGAAGACGATAGGAAGGATATAACGGTCCAGTGAGTCTATTCTCGTCCGAGCTCTCACGCTGTTTCTCTTCCTCGTCGGCGAGGAACCGATTATCTATTACTCCATTTATTAAATATTTAAATTTAAGATTTCATTTAAATAATATTTTTACTCAAATGTATGATTTTATTTTTTTTAGATTTTATTTAATTCAAAAAATTAAATAATCAAATAAGTCAAAAATTTCACTCAAACATTAATTCCTTTGCCATATAAGCATGACATGGCAACATTTTGCCATCCAAGCAGCCAAGCATAAACGGCAGTTAAGCCATGCGAGCAATAGGGTTAGTTCAGGGGCTTAACTTATGATTTTGCCTTTAATTAACAAAAAAGCTCTTGTACTTTGCATGTCAAAGCTGCCAGCACCTCTCCACAGGAATCACGAGCTACTGCCCCATACCAGATGCTCGACTTGTAAGGACAGAGCACAGTTAATGTTGATCTTTACACAATAAGCGTCAGCGGGGAGTCCACCTAATGCCTAATTTTAAACTTTTTTTTTTTTTTACTGTATTTTTATTGCTACTTTTTGATAAGTTACTAATACATTAAGTAGTTTACTATTATTAGCGGTAAAGTGGATGCTGATTTGCATTCCACCAAGACAAATTGCCATCATAGTCAGCCATGAATGATGAAGGGGATCGCTTTCAATATACGCTTTATATGTGAAGCAATTCCCTTTTTTTTTTTTCTTTTTTTCTTTTTTTTTCAACTTTTCTTTTCCTTCGACATAAAGAGAAAAGTTTGTTCATTTGATTCTTGCTTCAATAATGGATTTGAATTTTGGTATGACATGACTTCAAATGTTTTTGATATCTTACAAGTTACAAACCGCGCGGAACTTTACTTCCAAAGTAATTTCTCCAGAGTCATCCTCAAAAATTTAAGGTTTTATTGTTTTTGTTATATATATTAATCGATCTTTATTTAAAAGAATGTGTT